AAGTAATGGAATATTGACATCGAACCGAATAAGAGATGATATGCGGTGTAATGTTTAGAGAGAAACAATTTATTTGGTGAGTTTACGGTCAAGGAACGACTGGAAAAAGAGAGAAATCTGAGAAGATTAACCTTAAACAATCAAAATGAGACTAAAACTCAAAAGAATAAGTTTTAGTTTCAAGTGAAGTGGGCTCAACGTAAGTAATTTTTTAGCCGAAAGTTTCAATCAAATTTATGAAGGAAATGGAGTAGTATCTAGGTTCCATGTCCTAGGCTGGGTCCGGATGGTATTCTGGGTTTGACCTAGTTTGATGCACTTGAGTATTTTTCACCTACTTTTCATACCTTTATGCGCGACTTGGCCGACCATACGGCTCCGCAATGATGCGCTTGTCTTCTCGTGTCGTAGGCAGTATCTGATACGCCGGGTCTGACACTAGAGTGTTTCCTCGAAATCAGCTTTTTTGCGCTTTAATCGATCTTTAAGTATGAATTACATGCTTTTTAACCTAGCATGCATAAGGTGAAAGAGCTTTACCCTTCAACTCATAATAGAAACGTTAATATTTAAAATAAACTGAAATTATCGCCTAAAAAAATATTTAATACGTAGTCCCTTTTTTATACGGGAACTCGGGCGCCGTGCTATGTATTTGGATGCTGAATGCTAATAGGAGATACATGTGCGTCAGATCACTCAACTCCAAATCAATATCACTCCGGATAAGATTACTTAACATAAATTTTTATTTCCTGTAACATAAAATTTTAAGTTTTGATTATGTATATATAATGAATATTTCAAAATTTATTTTGTATAATTTCCAATGTTATTATCTTATGAAATTTTTTTTTATCACATTATCAAAATATATTAGACATTTAGAATTTTTTTTTTTTTTTGAGAAAGACATTTTGAATGTTGTATCATTGTATGAAAACCTCTAATTTTAAGAAAGGGAGCAAAAACCAGTGAATTTTTTTTAGTTAATGACGAGTCGGTTATAATTTTTGGTTTGTACATACATATTTAATTTCTTTTTCCGTCACATAAATAATGATTTTTACATATTATATAGTATATAGTTCAATTCATGTAATTAAAAAAATGGATAATGATAATGCCGGAATATCGAGTTAGACATAAAATTGCATGGAAATGATGTTGAAAGGGCACTTTTGGTATCGCGTTACAAAGCATTCATTTCATTCCACCCTAACTAAAATTGAAAAGGAAATTATATAATTATCAAGTTGCCACGCCTAATCGTTTTTATTATTTGGATATTAATTTATAGCATTTTTCACTATTTATCTTTTAGTATATATGATGTATGGATATGACCAAACTAGTTGTGGTAAAATGAATTGAAGTTGTAAATGGTAAAAGATTATTGTTTATTGTTAATGCAACAAATGGAGTCTACTTATGATTCAAACTTTAATATGGTATTTCAAAAGTTAGCCCCCAACAAAATCATCTTCAAATTAGCACACGATTTATCATTTCTCTTTCCAACAAGAAAGAGCTTCCTGCTACAACCAATTATTCATTCTTTTTGCTAAGTATTAAACTATTAAAATCAAAAATTAATTTCTCTCTTTTTCTGAAAAAATCTCATATGTTCTTATTAGTTTAATTGGTATGAAAATATGCCGTATGAACATATGTATTTTGTATCAAGTTCTGGCGTTTATAAATTATAAATTTTACTTCTAACATATAAAACAAATATATATTTTATTTATTTCTATTAAACATAGTAATTTTATAACATCATAAAAGTATGCATTTTCTTTTAATGTCAGATACATTAACCCCAGGGCGTTAACCTACAAGCACAAAAAATAAAGCTGAATTATGTGTCTTTTCCAAAAATATAAACAAAAAACAGATAACGTTTACGTGAATCGAAGGATATCTTGAAGTTTGGTTGTCTTTTTTGTAAATATTTATTTTACTTTTTTAACATCTGTTGTATTAATCAAATTGTGAATGGGTAATACAACTTATGAATTGTGAATGGGTAATACAACTTATCCAAAAACCATTTCGGTGGAATTGTAAAACAAGAATACAATAATTCACTATCATATGCTTTCTTGGATAAGAGATACGTAACCAAAGAAGCTTGTCAATCCACCAACGAATATCATGAAGAATGTTTTCTAAAATTTGAGCTTTGCTCACCATTGTTAATTAATCGAGTCAGCTCTGAACAATTTATTTGTAAATATTTATATCTTTACGGAAACATTTATGTGTAAATATTTATATTCCACAATATTGATCTAATTGCACAAAAAAATTGTTCCACAATTTTTCATTCCGCAAAAAAAAAATTTATTTCACAGATTAATTTTATTTCCTGCAGTTACGCAGATCGAAGCCTATGTGTATTAGTGATTGTTTGACACACAAGCAACATAAATTAGTATTTCTTGCAGACACTTGTTTGCCCCTGCCTTTCAAGATCTATTGTGTTTTATCCACGACATATAGCGTGTGTCTGTGTATATATATAATAAGTAGAGAGGGGGTCCTTTGGCATGATTAAGGGATACGTAATAACAGGTGATTGAAACCAACGTAACGTAGTGTTACGACTGATCACCAAATTTTAGACGTTGTGCTAAATATACTTATAATAACTGTTACGATATTTATAATTCGTTTGTGTTTGTATTTTTGTTAATGTATATCTCTACTGTATATCTTTTTCAAAAAAAAAAAAGAATTCGCAAATTTTAATTATTTTAAGAGTATTTGCACTCTATGACAAGAAATTATAAGGAAATTGTTCAGATGACAATGACACTGTGGAACATTTACCGTGACATTAAAGCCCCTAATTCTAGTTTCTTAGGCAAAGTAGTGATGAGTATAGTGTAGGCAGTCGTGTGTCAGGAAGCAATCTTCCGAAATCTTTTACGAGATAATGTTGATAGATACATAAAAACGAG